TTCAGCTCCTCTGCAGGACTTTAAGGTGTTTTTTCGGAAGGTTTGGGAGAAGAGTGGGCACATGCTGGTTAAATGTCACTCTGCCTGCCGGGAGGAGGAGTAGCACGCTGGACTGTTGTGMGAGTCTGGAACCTCTTCCTTTCAGCACAGACCTGTACCTGTTCCCTCTTGGCCATGTCCCGTCAGATGATCCCTTTGTCTGCTCACACACGCAATGAGCGTTTTGCCATCTGTGTCCATACAGTGAACCAGTGAGGTAATCCAGCATGAGCCATTGCCAACCCAGCTCCCTCCGATGGGGTGATTGAAATTCAGAGCACAGAACAGATAATCGGGTCAGGCCCAAAAAAAGAGGCTTTGGACTCATGTGTCACAAATCAGTCTGGTCCCTTCAAACAGCACACCAGATTAGAACAAGCACCCGAACAAGCCMGAGCGGAAAACCCGCCGCTCTCTAAAGCTGGTTTCTAAAGCCCTAACAAATCGCTCCATCTTTCACTCATTTAAACTTTCCAAATGAGGGTCAATACGGTCCCCAAGCATCCAAATGCTAATGCGCTTAAGTGCGCTTAAGCAGCTTTCCAGAGTGAATGGGCCAAAGAAGGGCTCGAAAAGACACGGCAGAGTTACTGTCACTGTCAAAAAGTCATTGTAGCCACCCCCAGAGTGGTTGCAATTCAACAAATTCATGATTTCTGTCTCTTAAAGGCATCTGCTTGAGAACATTTTTTTCCCTGAGCTGCTTTATCTCACAACGTCAGGCCGGCTCCAAAAGAAAAACCCCGCGATCGACTCTTGAGAACCAATACAGAGAAAGGACCCACATACCTTATTGCTTTCAAATTTCACACACACAAAAAGTTACCTTATTCACAGACAAAAGTGATTGGGCAAAGGTTCATTTCTTATACAAGCTGCAGGCACTCCTTTTTTCCCCTCCTTTCAATTTCTGCACAGTCGTAGTCACCCAAGCAGAAAACTTTCAGGACCGTGTGCCTTTTTAGGCAAGTCTGCTTATGAAGGGATGTTTTGTTGCTAGCAAAGAAAATAAAAATGCTATGAAAACTTGCTAGCAAAGACARTTAAAATTCTATGAAAACTCACTGTTCCTTGTTGGGTATTCCCTCAAAGGTATTATTTTACAAGGGCAGAAAGGAGGAAATCAGATATCAAAACTTTATATAATTAAAAAAGAAATCAAACATCGTTCTTCTTTTGAAACAAGATTTGGTGAAAAAGCTGGCGGGAGAGCTGTATTCAGACCTGGGAGTAAGCTCAGTAGCCAGCTTTTTCCTAGCAAGCACAGCCGTGTCTCATTCCTGTTTTCCCATACTCTACACAGGTAGATGGTTTGTAGCATTTTTAAATAACCTTTTGCGATTATTTATGTGTATTAAAYTGTAAAACACAGCAACAACTTTCCTCGCAACAGCATTGAAATGCAATAACAACGTCCTGTTGCACCAAGCTAGAAGGAAATGTCTTTTATATTTACATRAGACAAATCAGGAATTTCTTGTAAACTCGGCAATCCTCAGAATTACGCTCTTGATTTACATAACACACCTTCAAAATACATCTACTCCCCCATATACACCACACATCRAAGTGTTTAAGATTGCATTTCTGCATACATAAAGTGAACAGGGGTACTGACATTAGTACAATTGTCTTACATACATAAAACACACAACAGTCTGTAACACACACTTTATATCATGTTTACATGGGAACACCAAGCAGCTCTGGACTGCCTTGCTCCTTCCTGCTTCACTGAAAACTGCAGCTGATTTTTCACTGATTSCACATTCCTGCCTTCTGAACATCCTTCAGACTCTGAGTGCACATCCTGATGTGTGGGCTGAGTTGTTACACACTTGTCAGCACCTCAACAATTTTAGGGGGTGCAGGGGAAAYCCCCCAAATGTGGTATTCAAGCACKYACAGACTCATCCATCCCACTGGCTGCTCAGAGCCGTGTGCCAGGGGCACAATCTGCCCTTCCCCAGCTCTGCAGGGAGCACCAAGGTCCCTCATTTGGCTTCGCTCTGAGCCAAGAGCTGGTGCCAATGACAGCTCTCTTCTAATTCTCTTCTTCAGAAAAGAATATGAATTAAGTCRGAAAGGCCTCTGCCTCTCAGATTCTCCAGGATTACAGATGAGGCCAGAACTCCTTTTCCATTGCACATATTCACCTGCATGCTGCCTATCTTCTCATTTTCTCTCTCTGCCTCTCTGGTCAGGTTGCACATCTTTTTGTATTCTCTCGTTTTGTTTTYCTGACTGACCTCAAGCCTGAGCTCAGCAGCATCGACACAGTGATTCACAAACACTTTACCTGGAGCTGGCACGAGTCA